GTTTACCGTTTTACGTTTTCGTTTGTTCGTGTCTACTATATATATATATATATATATATATATATATATATATATATATACATATATTGTACTCTTGCATAGATTGTAATGTCTGCTAGTGTCCGAATATCTGCCTTTGCTGCATCAGACCTTATGAGTGCGACTCATCTGACCATTCGTCTCTATACAATTACATGCCCTTCTCATCTGTACATATTCCTACCACACACACATACACAGTCATCTTATTGTTATCCGTTTAACCCAATGGACTTCAACAGGCGGCTGAGTGTGTACTGCACCTGTGCCGTTTGTGCACCCGCTGCGCAGTGTAACTATGAGCCTATGCCTGCACTGACGTCCCACACTCGCCTTAACGTCTTAACATTTATGTGCACACCGAACCGTATCCAGGCCTCGAAGATCCTAGTACCACATTTACTATACACCACTCACACCACAGTCTTATACTTATACCAATACATTACACACCACAGTCGTATACTTATACCAATACATTACACACCACAGTCTTATCGTCATACCAATACATTACACACCACAGTCTAATACTTATACCAATACATCACACACCACAGTCTTATACTTATACCAAGACATTATACAACACAGTCTTACACTTATATACCAACACATTACACATCACAGTATAATACTTATATACCAATACATTACACACCGCAGTCTTATACTTATACCAATACATTACACACCACAGTCTTATACTTATACCATCACATCTCACACCACAGTCTTATACCTATACCAACACATCTCACACCACAGTCTTATACTTATACCAACACATTACACACCTACACAGGCGGCGGGGGCGTTTTGTGCCATGGCTGTGTTGGTTATGATCACGTGGACCCTCCCTACAGTATACTATGTGCCTAAGCCTGTTCTGGCGGGCATCATCATAGTGGCAGCCAGTGGACTGTTTGAGATTGACGACATTGGGGTCATCATCCGCATACACAAGTTCTCGGATGTGGGTAAGTGTAGTGCGGTCGCCCAACGGTACTGTACTGTGCAGGCTGTACGGGTGTTAATTCGCCACGAGTACGTGATTTTTTTCTCACGGACAAAGTGTTATTATCTCACAGATCTCTATTATTTTGTCACAGACCACTATTGTTTCCTCACATACAACCCTGAGTTTCTCACGCACACCCAGCCATGTTAGTGTTCACGCTCTCTGTTTGTGGTATTTTCTCACAGACAAAGTGTTTTTTTCCTCACAGATCTCCATTATTTCCTCACATACAACCCTGAGTCTCCCACGCACACCCAGCCATATTAGTGCTCACGCTCTCTGTTTGTGGTATTTTATCACGGCCAAGTGTTATTTTCTCACCGATATCTATTATTTTCTCATATATATCCTTGATTCTCCCATGCACGCCCAGCCATGTTTATGTTTACGTTCACGTGCACAATGGTCTTGGGGCTGACATCTGGTATCAGCATATCGTCATGCATCTCACTGCTGATGGTGGTCGAGCACACTACGATCCCCCGTATCTCCATCATAGGCCGAGTCACAGGTAGTGTATGTATATATTTATTCGAGTCACAGGTAGTGTCACGTTAGCCAAGTGGACCTGAATACCGATATGAGTATATACATATAAACCAGCGAGAGTGTGATTATAGATGTATATAAGTATAGACATATGAACCAGAGAGAGTGTGATTATAGATATAACCATACACATATATACCAGTGCGAGTCTGTTGGGTGTCCGTATGTACAAGTGCATCAACATACGCGGTGTAGGTGGGTCGGTTGTTGTATACGGCTATTGTGTACCACTCCAGCGACAGCCCTAAAGGGTCATTAGATTGTTGTACGGTATGTGGTAGTCATGGGTGCGCTTACAGTTATGCCCAGCATATCACTCATGGGCCCAGTCACAGCTACTGTCGTCTGATCTCAATGCACATATCCCGCAGAGCCACTTGCGAGTGTATCCGACGGCCATTTAAGTGCGTACGTGTACGTGTGGGGAATATGTTGTGTAATCAAATGCGTTATGGTTTGTTTGTAGCTTATATATAATAAGTTGATATAATAATGTATATATATGTGTGTGTTTGTGTGTGTGTGTGTGTGTGTGTTTGTAAATATATATCTATATATATATATATTACATAAACGTACATATATATATATATATATATTACATAAACGTACCTATATATATATATATATGTGTGTGTGTGTGTGTGTT